AGACATTTGGTTTGTTTTCAATTACTGATTTTTATGAATAAACCTATCACAAACATATTTTATAAAAGCCTTTAGTGGGCATCTCATTTAGTTTTATTTTGTATTAGCCTGATATCTAATTATATTGAACATTGGTTTTCATTTACTTATGGCTATTTGTATGCCTTTTTAGGAAGTCATTCTAATTTTCTGCCCAGTTTAATGACTATTCTTAATAGTGAAATTCTAGTAGGCACTCATTTATACTGGTTAGTGCTGTTTGTTAGGTATGTGTATTGTAAAATTTTCTCTTCTCTGTAGCTTGAATTTCTATTTTCTCAATAATGCCTTTTTAATTTTGATTAAATTTTGATTTATTTTTTCTTTTATGTTCAGTACTTCTGTGTCTTTTTTAAGAAAGCACTTCTTGTGTCTTGTTTAAGTATTTCTTATGTCTTGTTTAAGAAACATTTTCCTAAATTAAGGTTAAAGATTTTATATTTGCTTACATAAACTTTATAAAATTAGCTTTTATGCATGGTATAAAGTTTCTTTGTTTCATCTCCTAGCCAAATATATTGAGACATAATTCATATACAAAAAAAGATACTCATTCTAAGTACATAGATTAATGTGCTTCCACAAATATGTACACTCATGTAACCACTACCATTACCAAGCTGTAAAACATTTCCATACTCACAAATTTTCCCTCATGTTACACCCTAATATAGATTCCTTAGAACACCACTAGGTGCATATGTACTGTCACTAAAGCTTCATTTGATAATATAAAGATTTAATATGCATATAATCACATAGTATGCACTTTTGCTTTTGACTTCTTTCCCTCAGCATATTTTTGAAATTTATCCATGCTATGTGTTACTTAGCAGCTCATTCTTTTTGTTCCATTGTATAAATATACTACAATTTGTTTATCCAAGGTCCTGACAACAGACATTTAGCTGTTCCCCCCAATTTTCAGTTTTTAGAAATGGAGCTGCACAATTATTTATGCACATATATTTACATATTTATGTGGGATATTTTTCTTTCTATTAAGCAAATATCTAGACGAGGAAATGTTAAGTCATCTAGTCAATATATGTTGTTTTATAAGAGATTGACAATTGGATAAAGTTGTTTTTGCTACCACACACTCTCAAAATTTGTCAGTCTTAATTTAAACTTCAAGTAGATCACAATAGCATCCAATTCTGATGGACTTCAGATTTCCTTGAAGACAAAAGATGCTGAATATCTTTTGAGTGTCTCTTGATTATCTCTACGTTGTTCTGAATTTATGTCTTCTCAAATATTTTATGTATTTCCTAAATGGAATTCTAATTTTTGAATTGGATCTTTCATCTTCTTAGTGAAATATAAGAGTTCTTTATATTTTCTTGGTATAGTTTTTGGTCATATATATTTTGTGGAAATATTTCCACCATGTTGTAATTTGATTTTAATTTTCTACCAGTGTCTTTTAGAAAAAAAAGTTTTCTTTAAATTTAATAGAGTCTAATATAGTGATTTTGACTTTTATAATTCATGTGTTTTGTGTCCTATTTATGAAATTTTTGCAAAAATTAAATTCACTAAGATTTTATCCAATGTTATTTGTTAGAATTGTATTATCAGCAATTATAGGCAACATATAGTCCATTTCCAGTTAATATTTGGGGTGTGTGTGTGAGGAAACAGCAAGATTTTTATTTTCTTCACCTCATGGGGCTGATATCCAAATTCTACAAAGAACTTATAAAACTCAGTGAAAGAAAACAAAGAGCCCAATCAAAAATGGGCAGAAGAGTTAAACATGCACTTCTCCAAAGAAAACATACAGATGGTCAAAAGGTAAATTAAAAATGTTTATCATCACGAACCATCAGGGAAATGCAGGTCAAAGACCACAGTTTTGAAATACCACCTCACACCTGTGAGAATGGTCTATATCAAAAAGACTACAAACAACAAGAAAGAAACCTTCTTACACTGTGGGTGGGAATGTAGTAGCTTCTCAAAAGATTAAAAATGGATCTTCCATATGACCCAGAAATTCTACTCCTAGGTTCTACCTGAAGATACAAAAACACAAATTTGAAAGGATATATGCTCTTCTATGTTCTTTGTGGCACTATTTATAATAACTAAACTATGAAAACTACCTAGATGTCCCTAAACAGATGAGTAGATGAGGAAGATGTGGTATAAATACATGGTGGACTATATTTATACTGATAGCAACTTAGCTATCAAAAAAGATAAACTCTTGCCATTTGTGACAATGTGGATGGAGCTGAAGGGGATTTGCTAAGTGAAATAAGTCAAAGGGAGAAAGACAAATATGTATGGTGTCACTTACAGGAAGAATATGGAGAAAATAAGCCACAGATCAGATAAAGCCAAGCTAATAACAAACCCTAGAATTAAGACGGTGCAACCATGACTACCAGTGGGGAGGAAGATGGGCTAGAACAAAGTAGGAAGGAAGGACAGTGGGTTCTGAGGGTGGACTGTTGGTGTTTTGGTGGTGAATACAGTGTGGTAACAACCGAAAGGGGAGATCCTTTATTTCTAAAACACAAATAACTTTGTAAACAAATGTTACCGCAATAAAAAAAGTTCAAAAACCCAAAGATTTCTTTTCTCTCTAAATGTGCCACTGTTGAAAAGATGATCCTTTCTCCATTGAATTCACCTTGGCAGCCTTGTCAAAAATTAATTAGTTATACTATCTGGATCTATTTCTGAGGACCAATATTGATCCATTTGTCTACATTTGTACTCATACCAAACTATCTTTTAAAGTGTATCAGGCATTATCCTAGTGATGGGACTAAAGCATTTAGATAAGCAGGAAAAAATTTCCCCATGGAGACAGAAAACAGAGCTATCTAAAGGAAAAAACAATCATAAGTGCACATAAAATTGTGATACATGTTAAAGAGAGGAAGTAACTTATAAAGATTTTTTCAGAGGTTGACTTTTGAGTCAAGACTCAGCATAATGCTGCAACACAAATTACTCAGCATAATGCTGCAACACAAATGCTGCAACACAAATTACTGAATTAAGCATATCTTGTCAAATCTGCATTTAACTACGCAGTTGTTTAATCAAAGAGATTCCCTTTCCTTATGTTAGACTGTATTGTGTTTCTTTCACTTGAAAGCCAGAGGTACTGACTCACATACCAGAGTCCTTTTCAAAATATACATTTAAGCTTTCTTCTCATTACAATTTCTAACATTTATGTGCAGAGTACGCTTTTTTAAAATTTAAATTAATGCTTCTCCTATATTTTTACCTGGAAGTTTTTAGGAGCAACTTGAGGGCAGAAACCAAGATTAGTACATCTAATATGTGCTCAATAAATATTTGGTGGCTATTGGTGGCTGAGTGAGCAGGCAGTAACCTACCCAAGTTGTGTATTGGTCTACTTTTGCACTGGGTTTTATGTACTAATGTAGTAACAGAAAGTTTAGTATCATTTCAAAAATAGGTTAAGCACAAAGGGGCACACACACATATAACATGTTCTGCTCCAACCCCACAGACCCTCACATTGTCTTGGGGAGGAGTGAATTGCAGGCAACAATGAGGATAATTGGGAACTACCCAAGCTCTCCAGTTTGCTGCCCTCAAGGTTTAATGCTTTTCTTTACCCCAAGGCAGTACTGGCCTGGAGCGCTTTTCATCTTTATGAATTTAAGAAAAAGCAGAGCATCAACTATGTGACCTCCTAAGCACTCTACAACTTCAGCTTTCAAATCTGTTCTTTGTGACAGGTAAGACATTATTCTTTGCCTCTTCCCTGACATTAAGCTTCTATACACTTCTGCAGAAACTGAATTCGTGGGGCTCACATGATCTTTAAAAGAGTTTGTTTCTTCTTTTGCAATGATAGAGCAGGCTTTATTTGTCCTGTTGAAGTTCAGGAAATGCTGACGTACGAGTTTCCTATATCTACTTCTCTTTCCTTAATTCACAGTAGCCTTTAGCACCCAGTGAGCTACCAAGCAATATGGGACTAATAGTCATCTTGTCATCTAATTGTTAATGACAGCTTTTTCCCTGAAACTTTGCCTCCTATAGCACCTGTGAGATTTGGGATTCATGGTGTTTTCTGCATCCTTTTTACTCATTGAATGAAGGATTGGAACTTTGCCAAAAATAACATTGCTATAATGGCTCCCTGGAGTTTGGGGGAAAATGAGTGTCAACCAGCATGTTGGGGCCACAACTAATAAGAGACAAAAGAAAAGTTCTTCAAAGATGCTTTGGGGGATACTTCTCAGAGTTCTCAGCCGAGGAGGTAAGAACACACAGTTTGGGCACAAAGATGACTGTGTTAGAAAGGAATAGAAGAAAGACACTCCAGAAAAGGAATTACAGTAGAATATTAATTTTTGAATCTTTGATGAGAAGAGTTCTGGGTTTCTGGATTCTAATAACTATGTACAAGGAATGTAGGAAAATAACCCAAGGAATGTAGGAAAAAATGTACAAGGAATGTAGGAATGTAGTGAATTGTTTTATGTGAGAAATGGAGTGAAGCCCATGTTCAGAACTACTGAGAGGTAGGTGCTAGCCACCACTAATAATAATTTTAGAAGTGTTTGATTCACCCCACAAGGTTTAGTATGTCTATCCAATTAGTGATAGTGAAAAAAGAACATTGAGGAGAGCAGGGCACAAATATATGGTAGTTTGAAAAATGGAGGATAATACAGGAGAAACAAAAAATAAAATTTGACCTCAACAACTGGGCTGTAATAAGCACAGGAGTACTTCAAACAAATACCAATAAACAGGTATTTCTGCAAATATTCAGAGGCCATGGAATGGATTCTTCCATTAACAGTCTCTGAAAGATGGATTCCTTTAAGTTTCCCCTGACAACTGAAAAAAGATGAGGCTAATATCTGCCTGTAATTCCTTGTCAAGAATGAACTTTTTAATGTTTACTTCATTCACTGTTCCTGAAGATGACACGAAGTCATTTTCTGATGACAATGGTAAAGCAGAAAAGTCTAATGAGCAGCAACGAAGAAAAAGAAGTGAGTGTCTAACTGAGGTGTCTTTCTTTGTAGGCCTTCTTCTTATTTAGACCTCACTAGCCTAACATGCTGTGGACACATAACCCCCTGCATAAGCCTCAGAGATGGGAACTGAGGTAAATACATTGCATTTCCCAGGAAGATCCTGGTCCTGTTTGTGTTATTAGCTAGCAGTTGATATAAAAAGTTTTGTAAAGAGTGAGAGTAATGATTTTTTTTTAAGTAATGGTAAGGGCAATTGTGAAAACTGGGGTTTGGTTAGATCCTTCAATATCTTTGTTGTGTGACAGATTGATATGCTTATAATACAATTACAACTATTGGTTCATTGCAAGTTGGACCTCTGTTCCAAATATCCCCTTTCTAGGCTTAAAATTCTACCACCCTTTTAATTAATTTAAATAATGTCTTTTACTGATGCCATTGAAAAATCAAATATATAATAATCATTTCATTATTCATTTTTTAGGTAGCAATTTGTCTTTACATGTTATATGGGAGAAAATAGTAACCCAAAATGTTTACACTCTGATTTGAGAAATTAGAAGCTGTTATCATCTGTGGTATATACCAGTACACAAAAAGAAAGTCACTAAACAAAATTTAAGAGAAGAAAAATTTCATATCACTCTCATCGTGAGAGACCAGGTTATACTTTCTATTTGTGTGGACAAGAATGAAAGGAAAATGGATGAATGTTTTCCAGATGAATGGAAAAGATGAGCAAAAGCACAGACATGAAATGCTGGAAAATGAGAAAACAGTCTCATGGAAAAACTACCTTTTTTATTCGAGCATTTGGGGAGAGGAGAGAAAAATTGGTAAAGAAGGCAAGGTGATTTAGCGCCACTCCTCCTGAGAATGGTATTTTACTTAGGTAGCCTAAGAAAATTATGTACTATAGAGAATAAATATTTATCAAATATACATATTTACTAATTTAAATCAGCAATAAATATATTAATGAATAAATCAATTAATGGAAGTGATGATTTGGCTACTAAATCTACCCATTAATCTGTGGTTGTTATACTCCAGTTAGATATAAAAACAAAACTGATAATTTGGCTTCAAGCCTTTTCTTGAAAGTGAAGGAACCCAAAGTGAAATACTTAGAGATGGCAAGGATGAAAGAATTACAACTCAAATGTGTGATATCAGCACATCAGTTGGTCTCTTGAATTGAGCTACATTAATTCAAGACTTTTCATTTCACAATCAACTTTTGTGCTTTTCTAATTACTTGGTTTTAAATTATTTGTTTTTAATTTGTTAAATTCAAACTTCACTTTAATTGAATTAAAGGGGAAAGGATTACCTCTCCCCCTTTTCCTCTCTCCCCCTAACCGTCCTTGTTAGCCCCATCAAGGAAAAGTGGAGAAGCGGAGGCTAATCCAAATGGAGTGGTCAATGTGATACTGAACTCTGTTGGAAATCTGGTTCTGTTGGGCAAATGGGATGAAGAGATATAATGGTTAATACTCAAGAGAGGCTTGGTGGATTTCATTTATTATGGCAGAGTTCTAGATCAGGTGTGTCTTCTTGGTAGATTGGTGAGTCGTAAGAGCAATAACCGACCTGGTTGTGAGAACGTTACTTCTCTAGTGCTACTTGAATATACCAACAACCTCCACATGCATGAGGCCCCACCTGACTCCCTGCTATCAAGTGGGTAAAAATAGGTTGTGTGATGAGGTGAAAGTCTGAGCTAAAGTCAACACAATATTAACATCAACAAAGCATGTGTGTATGAATGTTGGTATAGCAGTTTTGTAAAATAAAATAATGGGATTTAAAATAAAAAAAATAAAATTTAGGAAGCTATATGGTTAAAGTGTATCCAAAAGAAAACTAGAGAAAAACTAGCAACCACTTTCTTAAAATTAAATCACACACGTAGAAGTTATACTGATGAAAATCTTCTTATGCTTTGAAGCATAGTTTTGTGCTTTAATTTTAATGTGAAGCCCAGGAGAGAGAGGTACTATTAATATCTTTACATTACAGATAAGGAACCTGAGACACACAGGTTAATGCAAATAATAAATGACAGAGCTAGGGTGGTTTTTTATCAAGTGTTCAGACATTCTCATTCCCAATTTGCTGTACAAAGCAGGCAATATAAAAATAATTAATTTAAATACTATAGGAGATGCAGAAATGTCACTGGAAACAGGCAATCTGAGTTTTTAAAAATAATTCCATTAGTTGACCTGATCAATGGAACATTCCCTCCCAGTAGCAGTCCTTGCCCCTTCTGTATATTGCTCATCAATCTTTGATGATTCTATCTACTTCATTCAGGATAAACAATCGGTTCTTTCTTTCTTCTTCTCTGTAGGTGAATTTCTGGGAGCAAGCCAAACAAGCTAATTTCTCCTCTGTCACAGAGTTCCTTTTGTTGGGATTCTCCAACCTTGGAGAAATCCAACTCATCCTCTTTGCTCTTTTTCTGTGCCTATATCTGATTATCCTGAGTGGGAATATCACCATTGTCACTGTCATCCACCTGGATCGCAGCCTCCACATACCTATGTACTTCTTCCTTGGGATCCTCTCCATCTTTGAGACATGCTATACCTTTGCCATTCTGCCCAAGATGCTCATAAATCTGTTGTCTCTGCTCAGAACAATCTCATTTGTTAATTGTGCCACTCAGATGTTCTTCTTCCTTGGTTTTGCCATCACTAACTGCATGCTGCTGGCAGTGATGGGTTATGACTGTTATGCTGCCATTTGTCATCCACTTCGCTACCCTGTCCTAATGAACTGGCAGGTATGTGGACAGCTGGCAGTTGCTTGCGTTGTCATTGGTTTTTTATTCTCACTGACAGGCTCTCTTAGTCTTTAAACTCCCCTTCTGTGGCCCCAACAAGATCAACCACTACTTCTGTGATGTCTCACCTATCATTCGACTCGCATGTGCTGATACCTATGTCAATGAATTGGTCATCTTCATTGGTGGAGTTGTAGCACTCATGGTCCCCCTGACTTTCATCTGCATTTCTTATGGCTTCATTGTTCACACCATCCTGAAGATCCCATCAGCTGAAGGTAAGAGAAAAGCCTTCTCCACCTGTGCCTCCCACCTCACTGTGGTCATTGTCCACTATGGCTGTGCTTCCTTTGTCTACCTGCGACCCTCAACCAAGTACACATTCAGCAAAGATAGACTGGTGACAGTGACTTATACAGTGGTGACCCCACTGTTGAACCCCATGGTATATAGCCTCAGGAACAAGGATGTCCAGGTGGCCATTCGGAAAGTGATTGGCAGAGGAGGATTTTATCCTAAGGCTCTAAAATGAGAATACTTCACAAGTGTGAAAACATCCTTTCGGAGGACATAGCAATAATGGTAATGTTGATGACACTGTTATCTTTCATTTACATAGCACTTTGTTTATGTAAAAGTAGTGCCAGATTCTCCATGGTATTATTTTGATAGACTTTGTAGAGTTCAGCTTTAAACTTAGGCTAATTGTTAATCAGATCCAAGTCTCAAATACTCTTAAGCTTGTATAAATAAGCATTTTGTGTTTTCAGGGAACTTACTTAAGAATGACTTTAGTCTCTTCCATGAAGGATGAGTAATTTACTATGGAATAATTTACTTGTGATTAGTAATTTACTACAGGTGATTCAGCTATCACAAATTCTCCATATTAAAGGAAAAACTCAACAGGTTTCTTATAACATCTCATGGAGAAAATGGTATAAATTACTGAGAATTTTTAATATATCTATGAGCTGCCAGTGATGGAAAAACCCTAGGCTATCACTTCCAGTTGTTCTATTAGTGCATGAGTCCCCCCACAGTATCCCCACCTCCAATACTTGAAGATGGATAATGTTCGTTTTCCTAAAACCTTTAGCCTGGCTACCAATTCCTTTGACCTTCATAATGTATCAGAGTTCACAGACCCTCACAACCCTGACCACCTCTCTCTGGATTATTCTCAAGATACTTTTCATTTTGTTGATGAGATTCCTCAGAAAAGTCACCAAGAATGAATGCAACACTCCAAGTGATTTAGCATAATCATCTTCTTTGTTTTGGAAACCAATTTTATGTTAACACAGCCTGCATTCCTCCCCCATCAGCTCTACCATATGCGTGCTCTCTCTGTCCCTGTGTCTTTTAGACTAAAAGATTTATGTTTGATATCCACAGCCCTATCACTATGGAGGCCATTTTGATTAGTTTAGTTCAGTTGCATTGTTCTTTTTTTTTTTTTAATAGAGGCATGTTTTTATTTATTTATTTATTTGTTTGTTTATTTATTTATTTGTTTGTTTGTTTGTTTGTTTGTTTGTTTTGTTTGTTTATACATGCACTGGGTACAGTCAGAAGTGCGGGAGGGTGAGAGCATTCACCAGAGCCAGAACAGGGAGCAGAGTAGGCAGAAGGACCAAAGTACACTGCTGAGGGGAGCAGCGGGCGGCAGGAGAGGTCTGCGCGCCATGTGGGACCCTCGCCCGGCAGCTGGAGATTGAACTGGCACTGCAGAGGCTGCGGGCAGCTTCACAACCCAGCGCTCAACCGCTGCGCCACCGGGGAGGCCCGGCAGTCTCATATTTGTAATTTATTCCTTTATATCTTTTTATTTCCTTTTTTGCCAGAATACCCAGATTTCTCCATGTATCATGTATAATATTCATGTCTAACTGTCTCTCTTTCAATTCCATTCTGTCTCTTCTTCCAGGTGTGAATATTAAATAGTATTTGTAGAGTATGAAAAACTAGCATTGGCTGCATGGATTTCAATATATCTTTATGCTCAATGAAAAAGAATAATGTGGGTAAATACCAATGCTTGTCAAAGACGGTGTGAGAGTGATGGTGATATGGTCAGATGCTTTCTATTTTTGTTTTAGCTATGACACAAAATGAAATCATTTAATCAGTATGTATATATTCCCACACTTGATTTCTCCTCCATTGTAACTTGGGAATATAGAATATATGCTCTTCACCATCTCCTCTGTGTTATGAAAAGTGTTCACCCCTTTACAAAGCAGATCCTTGAGCAGAATGAAAGTTTGGTGGGTAAACTAGAACAGATTAATTTATGATGCTATAGGAATTCCCTCCACTGTAGCAGGTCCTAGGAAATTCTATAATAAGCAGATAATGGAAGCCTGTGGTGAAGAGGTGGTGGGAGTAGGAGCCTGTGGGAAAAGTGGATGTGGCTTTAGGAACTGGAATCAGAAAACCTTTGAGGTGCCTGAAAAGTCACCCATTGTTGCAGAGCCCAGAGAAATGCTATAATCCTGTTCTCAGTCCAGTCTCTCATACCTCACTACAAATGTCTTATAAGTCACTTTTGTGGCAATTATGGTCCATAATAATTATGCTATTTATAACTAATTTTAATGTTTATATTCTGTGCTCCATTGGTCAAGACTCTTTTGTCCCCATTTCAACATAAAAATGACTTTGATGGAATTTAGTGAGCAGGAGAAAGTAGTGTAGTGTTTCTCAGATGCAGAGAAATCTCTGAAGACCCTCTTATCCCTAAACCACTCATTTGATCTCTTCTTCTGGAGACAAACTATTTTTCCTGATTTCACAGTCAGACTTCAAGTCATCTCACATGATTTTTAACCTTAGAGTTTCAGTGTAGACACCTGTCCTTTTAAGATAATTTTTGTAATTTAAGGGGAGAGGAATGTTGCAAAACTCAATTCTTAAAAACCCAGAAGTTTATTATCTATTGTTCCCCGTTATCAATTAAATGCTGCTGGTGGAAATTGTAAAACAAATCACATTGTTATAGTAAGCTAGTAATCAACTACTTCGAATGTCGCCTCCAAACAAGTAAGTCATTTTTTACATTTTTTTCTAAAAAAAAGTATACTCTCTTCTCTGCAGAGGCTATTGCACACCTGTTCATTTTCACTGACAGCAATGAACTCTCCATAGCCATTTCCTTGTGCCTTCCAAACACAATGCTACCAGTTGGCATTGCATTGTACTTCAGAGGAATAAAAGTATCAGATAGAAAATCCTTCATTTGCTTGTTGTTGCATCTACAAATGTATTTGCACCACAACTATCTTTTTTTTCTCAACTGATCCAGAAGTAGTCCTCTTTAGCTTTCTCAAATATCATCTCCCTTCATATTGTCTGAATTTAATCTATTCTTAATTTATTAGTGTTCCTAGTGCCTCCATAAAATCCTCAGGGATTGAGGATCTGCTATTCTGTGAACACATAAAAAGGATGACTGTGTTGTGTCTAGATTTCTGCAGATAAGACACTTGCAGCCTGGCTATACCAAAGCACATGCATTACGTGGCTCTAAAGAAAAGCTGGAGCAACTCAAAGCAACTCATACAATTGATGCTAGAGAAATATATTTTTATTCTCTTTGATTTGTGAGATTGGTTTTGTTTTTTAGCTAAGAAGAAGCAGCTTTAGTATAGATACTAGAAAACAAAGGGGAAAGGAATCAAGTGACTAATATCAATTTAATAAATTAATAAAACTGAACTTCACATTCTATCATAATTTATTCTCATCAACTATTTACTGAGCACTTGTGTGTGACGGAAATGCAAAGGTGAAAGAAACACTGTTCCTGCTTTCAAAATACTAAATCTGCTAGTTCCTTCCCCACACTTCTCCCATAGCGAAGAGCATTGGTACTCTTTCATTAAGCAAAAGATGCTGAGTTACATTTATCTAGATTGTAAATGATGGCCCCTTTCTCTTTGCTCCATTTTCTACACATTTGCAAGTTAAAATTATATAAATTATTAAGTTAGTGAATATCGATTAGGTGAATAGCTTTCTCTCTCATCAAGGTGAAATCATAGAATTTGAACACAAAGCCTACCTAACACAAGACAAAACATTGAAAAAAATTTATGAAACTCCAGGCATTGGACAACAGACAGCATACGAAGTGGCCCCTGAAAAAACATATGGTATTGACATAAAAATAGACGCATGAGTCAGTGAAATAGAATTGAAAGCCCACATACATATCAATACTTAATTTTTTATAAAGGCTCTATGACCATACAATGGGAAAACAGTGTTTTTAACAAATGGTGCTGGGAAAATTGGACAGGCACACATAAAAGAATAAATTGCACTATGCACAAAAATAAATTTCAAGTGAATTATAGAGTTAGATATAAGACTTGCAAAAATAAAACATATAGAAAAAATATTAGCTATGTGTTCCATAATATCAATGAAAAGATGTTTTTTGGAGACTCAACCCCTATGGCAAGGGAAATAAAAGCAAAAATAAACCCCTGGGATTACGTCAAACTGAAAAGCTTTTTATACAGTGAAAGAAAATATAAGTAATTTAAGAACATGTATTACTGAATGGGAGAAATTAAATTTTATAACTGACAAAGGGTTAATTGCTCAGGCATATAAAAACACACAATCAGAAATAGAAAAAAAAACCCAATAAATAAATGGGCAGCAGACCTAAATAGACAATTCACCGAAAGGACTTTTTCTTTGTTTCCTTTTTTATTTAGGTAACATTTGTGTACACTGTATTTGTGTTTTGGAAGTACAAGATTTCTCCTTTCAGGTGCCATTACCACACCACACTCACCATTGAAAATATCCACAGTTCACCACTACAGTCCATTGTGCTCCCATCACACTTGTTTTCACCCCTCCCCGCCCCCCCCACCAAGGAAGCCTGTTTTATAATCAGCTTTCCTGGGGTTGTTGTTATTTTGACTTTATCTGATCCTCTGCTTGGTTTCCCTGTATTCCACATATAACTGACACCAACCAGTATTTGTCTTTCTCCTTCTGCTTATTTTGCTTAACATAATTCCCTCCAGCTCCGTTGATGTTGTTACGAACAGCAAGTCTATTTTTTTGATAGCTGAGGAGTATTCCAAGATGTATATATACCACATCTTCCTGATGCGCTCATTTACATTTGGGCACTTAGGTTGTTTGCACAGCTTGGCTATTGTGGTAGTGCAACATTGAACACCTTTCTCTTCAAATTAAGTGTTTTTGTATTCTTTGGCTAGATGTCGCTGAGTGGAATTGCTGGGTCAAATAGAAGATCCATTTCTAACCTTCTGAGAAACCTCCATATTATTATTATTATTTTTTTTTTCTGTGAAGTAGACTATTTTATTTGGAATCAAAATAATCATTCTCTACAACTTTTTATGAAAATAGGGGTAATTTGATATCAAAGATCTTTTTCCTCCCCAAAAGATCCATATTGTAAACAAAGAATGAAGCCCAGAACAGCTATATACAAATTCACAGAACTTATTGACAAAATCAGAATTTGAACCTAGCTGGCAG